TTTTTGCGAAGATTGCGGTTTAATTCCACTTAATTCTATCCATTATCTTTATCGTTATAACTGCGAAAAATTTATATATTAAATTCTCAGAAACCAAACGAATCGATCTTCTGATAATCTTGTATAACAATTTTCCATTTTAAAATCGATGCGAGTTGCGATGATGCGAGAGTTTCGATGATCGAGTGGAACAATCGTAAGGACAATGCGTTATGGAAAAACGATATGGTTGTTCGTGACACGCGGCAATGAAAATGTTAAAATAACAAAGGAAGAGGGGAACGTGTTTCGGCGGGCGAAGAGAAGTTGGCCGGAGAGAAACGACTTCGAGGAATTGTCGTCGTGTCGTACACGAAACTCGAAGATCAATGAAGATCACGAAGAAAGAGAGAAAGAGAGAAAAAAAAAAGGAACGAAGAACTGTGAGTACTCTCACGAGTCGAAAAAGGGGGACCGTCCAATTTTCCGCACGCGAGTGATCCGACGGTACTCGAGAGACCTCGAACGTTTCTCGTTTTCTTGCCGAGAGATTCGTGGCTAACGAACACAACGAACTTTTACCCCCTCCCCTTTCTAATAATTACCACGTTAAGAACAACATTTCTCGAAAAGGGAATTAAATTCGAACGAGACACGTTCCGGAAGAAGAGGGAGAGAAAAAAAAGGGAGAAGAAGGAAGTAATAAGAGTCATCGACGGACAGAGTTTCCACTACTGGATTAGCGACGATTCATCGACGATAATCAAACCGTTAAAGGGCGTGTAATAACTTCTTCCCTTCCCTTTGATTTGCCATCGAATATTATGGTTAATTAATTTATGTGGTCAGATCGAAGAATATAATTTGCAGAAATCGCAAGATTGCCCATCGATCGACGATCATTATCTCGTTTTCGGTTTTACAACGCGTACCAAACCAGAGGGGAGAGAGAAAGAGAGGGGGTTCCAGCTCCTGATGATCGTTGGACGGAACGAGAAAAACGAAACGCATTCAACGGATGGCTTGTTAAAGGAGGAGACATCGTCGTCGTCGTCGTCGTCGTCGTTGTCGTCGGGTGTCGGAATATGTCGCTGGAACGAGGAGGAGCAACGACTCGAAATATCCGAAAGAGGGGGAAACAAGGTAGATGGACGTGGAACGAACGAGGGAGAAAAAAAAAACGTGGAGAAGAGTCTAGGTAAGAAGAAAAGCGGGATACAGGCACGTACACACGGCATAGACGGGGATGAAATCAATATGGAGAGCGTATCGAGGAAAATTATTGTTATCAAGGGGGTTAGGGCCATCCACCGTGAAACGTCATTTTCAGGATCATCCTTGGCGGATCACCGCGGCGCGATAGGGATTGGCCGACAGCATAGAATCTAATTATGTGATAAACATTGTTGCGCGGCACACCTGCTCGTAAATAACATAGAATCAAACACGTATCACGTTACGCCGTAATACACGATGGGCCTCGGGAGAGGAACAGGTCCGTGGACCTTTCCTTGCGAACCTCGAACGGTTATATCTTCCATATATATATATATATATATATACGGTAAGGTTGATCCTGCGCGTGTTCCTTGCCAGGATTAATTATATTCTCGAACATAAATTAGCACGACGAAAAGAAGGAGAGGCATCGAGTAATTACGCTTTTCGTGAACGCGCCGAAACCGACACCTTTCGTTCGCGTGAAAATCGAAGATCGATCGACCAAAAAAAGAAAAGAAAAAAGAAAGAAGAAGGGGAGAAAGAGGAGGAACACGAAGCTGTCATTTTCAAGAAGAGATAAGAACGGTTAATAAGAAGCTGAGGAATGGTCAATCGTTGGCCAGAAATAAAATACTCGGGTGTTAAACGTTATATAAGGCGGGCATTATCTGGAGCACTTTACGTTTTCACTTCAAAAATGGATTTTTCGTCGTATCGCGTTGCTCATCGAAAATAACCGCGCGATCACGCGCGCGCTTACGTGGAATATTTATTCAAACAAGCCTTAGTGCTAAGACCTTATCGACAGATACGATATCGGCCGACTTTTTCTCACAGGCAACGGCGTTTGTTTGCCGTTGCATTTTTGAATATTAGTGCAATTATGTAGAGACGTACATATACATATTCGCTGTACGACGAATATCAAAGTGTTCGAGGAATAAAAAAAGAAAAAACGCATCGAGCCACGATAATTGTCCGTGGATTAAACATTAATATAACTCGCGTTATAGATAATATCGAAATCAAAGATAACTCTTCTCTTTTTTCCTTTTTTTTTTTTCTTTCTTTCTTTTTCTTTCTATTTTTATTCCTTTTTTCCCAAAGTCATTTTATTAACTACTTAACGACGCCGGATCGAAACGTTATTGGACGATTGTATCGTTTCTTCTATCTAGAAATAAATGCATAGTAGTTGTTCAATTTCTCGTAACCTGGCTGGTAACGAAGATTACGATTATATTTTTATTTTTTCTTCCTTTTTTTTTTTTTTTTTTTTTTTTTCGTTTTTCGTCTCGTTTCTTAACGTTGTTACGAACGCGCAACGTTCTTATCAGGTTAATTCATAACACTGTTTACATTGCATTTTATTCAAACTAATAAAGATCCGGCTGTTTAGAATCAGATAATGCTCGCCTCGACATGTATCATGTTTTAATTACGATCATTCTTGTTTTCACGGTATCGCGGGGCTCACGACACATTATGCCGCGATAATAAACACGAAATGATAACTCGATGTAAAACCGAGTTATAAGTACAATAATATTTAGTTTTTACAAAATAATCAAATGTTTTATCGACGACGGATCGAACCATGTACCCGATATATATATATATAGAATAAAGATACACGGGCATTTTTCTTGATCCTTCTCCGTCTCTTTCTTTTACTTGTAATCATCGATCTACGCTTTATCAGGGAATGCATCGAAATTGAGGTAAGAAGTTTTTCTAGTTTTATCTATCGATTGTGTGACTCTCCACGTGCCTAATACTTCAAACTACACGTTTCAATGAGACGAATTAAAAGAATTAATATAATGCGTTTAACGTGTGCTATAATTTTTTTCAATTTCAGAAATCTAAAATCATTATACGAGTTTGATACGAGAAATTATTATCTTAGTAATGTTGTGAATCATACGTGATTAATAAGACGCAAAATTATTGACACAATTTTAATCAGCTCATACGATAGATTTTTAAGATAAACACGATTATAAAAGAGTGGCGCTCAATAAATGAATAATCACTATTTCCTTTCCACTAAATAACGATGATTATCGTTCTGCTTATTGATAAGAATGCCAAGTATTTTTTTTTTTTTTTCGAAAAATTTACTTTTATACTTATATGACGAAATATTAAAGTAAAATAAAGCAAGAGATTTCTCTTCGGATCGGAAAAAAAACTAATGAAAAAAAATATATTTCTACAAACTAATTATTAAATAGCGTTATTTCAATTATGCGTCAACCTGCACCAATAAAAATGATAACTTTTCCTTAAACAAAGATAAACAAGGAAATTTATCCAATTTATTCCTTAATTTTTCTTTTATTAATCAAAAATATATCCTGCGTCGAACGGGAAAGAAAAAACGGAAACGAATCTGCATTCTCACAACGGAATTATCTCAAAACGATCCAAAACCTACAATGAATCATTTGTTTCCATCGACACCTGCATCTACAACTTAGAATTTTTTTCTAGATACTTTACACGTAATAACTGAAAAAAAAAAAGAAAAAAAAAAAAAAAGAAACAGAACTCCTCCTTTCTTACTGCAAAGTCCTCACAATTATCCCTCGAATTTTAATTAACGTGCACGCACACGTTCCTTCGAACGAAACGTTATACGAATTTATCCGTCAAGAATTCCCCTTATCGCGAAGGGGAATCGTTGGTGGAGGCGCACGCAAGCAGCAACGAAACGACGAGCGAGTAGAACGAAAGGAATATCATCTAAAAGGGAATTCACCTTCCCATCGTAAAACCGTGCCGCCGCAATTGGCGAAACCTGCCTTTTGCCGTTTTGCGTACGGAAAAAAAAAAAAAAAACGCAACGAGACGCAACGAAAGCCCGTATTTCAGGTAAATGCCCGATTCTCGACGCTCGTTCCTACAATGGAATCAACAATGCCGTCGACCATTTGGGGGTTGGAGGCAACAAAGGCCCGTGCCAAGGTTGCGCGGGGGTGGCAGTGTCGGATGCGAGCGGAGGGAGACTCTCCATTGACAGCTGACGGATCGAACAGTTTTCCCCCAAAATGCATGGGATCGTTTCATGTTTCGTTCGCGGACAAATAGCGGCTGGCATGACGCACACGTTCGTTTGCCTCGGAAATCTCCGGTTTCGTTACTGAACCAACTCTTTGGGAAATCGTTGGAACAGAGAAGGGGGGAGAAATAGCTTAATAATCATTCCACTCGACTATTTTGATTACACGGTGAATTTAAATTTTTAATCGTAATGGTATTTCGAATATTTTTGTTTCATCGATTCAGGAAACGAAAGTTTATAGAATATAATACAATTGGAAATGAGATATCATGCGTTATTAATAACGATTCTCTCGTATCTTTTATTTTAAACTTTTAAACATTTATTCACGAGAGAAGAAGGAGAAGGAGGAGTTCAAGAAGGAATCAGGAATTATTAAAATTTCCTTTCCTTTCCGCGTTTTTTCTATATTACTCTATATAAAAGATGAAATGAAACGATGCACTTAATCTATATGATAACTTTGATTAATTTAAGATTCATAATTGATTGGATTCTAAGAACGCTATCAAGTCGAAATAGAGTATTTCGAGGAGCGGAATTCCAAGATTCAGATGAGTAACTCGTTACGAAAACGAATGCAAAATTGGAATTATCAATTCCGTTTATCACCGATATTATAATTCATTACGTCATTCTTATACGCGATGCGATACGGATATTTTTTTTTTTTTTGCAGAAACGAATAATACGGCTTGATAATTTGAAAAGAGAATTTGCATGTCTGACTCACCATTTTCGGTGCCTCGAAGTGGACCGGAAGGGCTACCGCCGGTGGAGACTCCTTCGTCTTCGCTGCTGCTGCTGCTACCCTCACTGGGACTGTAACTTCTTCTGCTTCCCGTCCCTCTGCCGATCTTCTGCCCGCTACCGGTTGTTCCATTATTATTGTCGTGTATCCTATCCTGCAGTCTCTCGTACATAGTCCTTACGCGAGAATGTAGCCTCTGTTGTTGAAGAGAACCGACCGAAAAGTCCAAAGGTTGATCGATCTCCGATTGTATCTGCGACTGTCTCTGTACTTGTCCACAAACCGAGCCAACGACCAAACTCTGGGACTGAACAACTTGCTGTCCTATAGGCGATACTTGTTGTTGTTGTTGTTGTTGTTGTTGCTGCTGTTGCTGCTGCTGCTGTTGCTGTTGCTGCTGCTGCTCCTGATGAACGGTGCTCGGTGGACTCCACCATTGGTGGCCACCCTGTATAGACCTCCAAGCCTCGATCGTGTTGTTGTTCGTCGGGCTGGTCTGCTTTTGCTTCTGTTGCTGCATCTGCATCTGCTGTTGCGATTGTTGCTGCTGTTGAACCATCGCAACCTCCACCAGGTTGTTGTTCTCCAGCAGATGCATGCTGGGGGTCTGCGTCATCGACGACGGCAGAACGAAAGGGGAGGCGCCCACCAAAGGTGGGCTAGACTCTTGACGCTGTCGATGGATGGAATGATGATGTTGTTGCCTGTGCTGCGGCTGCTGTTGAATAGATTGTTGCTGGTGTTGCTGTTGTTGTTGCGAACTGGATGGTATCACAACCGGAGGCGGAATTTGCCGGACGGTTCGCGCGGCCTCGGCGACCCACCGGCGCACCGCCTCGCTGTCGAGGCCCGCCAGCCCTGCGGACTTTGTTTTCGACTGTCCTCCGGGCGATGATAAACCCTTATCGGGTATCAGGCCGGGTAGCGCGAGGACCCCGGTACCCGCCACCGCGACCCTGGGTCCCGAAACGCCCCCGTAAGCAGCCAACGCCGCGAAATCCAATGTGGTCACCTGCTGGCTCCCTTTGTTGGACAAGCTAAACTGTTCTTCGCCCTCCGTATACGAATTTGATATCCTTTTATCGTTTTTATCGTTTGTTAAAAGCGTCGAGCAATGGTCAATGGTCGGTGTTGCACTTTTGAGAATGAAAGTTCCACGAAGACGAGTGCAGTATACAGATTTTTGAGGTTATTTTGGAATTGAGGTTAACGAAACCGAAGCGAATTACAAATATAAAAGATCCTTCAGACGTCTATTATCCTTTGATATCACAGTATATTCCTATAGAAACACTACACTGATAAATGAGCACAGATATATTCCTTCGACACGCTCCGAACGTATTCCAGTCTCGCACGGTAGTCACTACTTGGTTATATACGTTTATCCTTCACGTTCATTATACGAACACTTCTTAATGTATATAGTTATTAAACGGAACAGCGTGACAAGTGTGTGTCGTCGTTATTTCCTTCGTATATCGTTCCTGGCCACGTTTCTCGTTCAATTCACTTGTCATCCGAATGCCAAACACCAGATCTCACGTAAATTTTGAATCGACACCAACGCCAACTGTCAACGGTTATTACCGAAGTTTCCCGCGTTTTTACCGCCAGAATCGTGTCTTTTATAGCCCGCGAATATTCAAAAATCCTATTGTCTCTCCGATCTGTCAGTGACGCATCAGATACCCAGCGTCACCCATCGGCGAATTCACGAACGATTCCGATGCTAATCACCGAAACGAACACGAGCATCGTAAATTACGAGTTGGATCGTAAATCTATTTCAGAATCCTTCCAATGCCATTAGAAACTGTCACGAATATTCACTGTCTCACTGTTTCGACGCTGGCAATTACTCCCGTGGTTCCGCGTTCCACACGTGCGGTACCGTTTCGTCATAGGTTCACACACACCGCGCGTCAGCTTTCCTCTCGCGAGAATTGAGCTGTCCGCGGTGCGGGATCGTAGAAAGAGCAAAGTATCGTTATCGCAGGCACACGAGCATCCGCGACGAGCTACGACGGTAGCAGCTACGGCTGCGGCGGCTGGTACGGCGGTCAGATGCTGTCGCGTGCATGTGTGCAGCTACACTAGAGGGCCCACGTACGCCCGGTCGGCCGCCTACCGGCCACGGGGAACGCGGACGCGTACACGGACCGTGGAACGCAAAGTGGGGGAGTTGCACAAAGAAGGAAAGAGATGAAGCAACACTAACCTCGGTTCGAAAGGCTGAGTGTACGACGAAGAGGTTAGATTGGAACGAAAAGCAGCGGACGGACGCCTGGACGCTTATGCTGGTGGGGAAACAAGCAGCGTCGGTGGGGAATGGTGCTCCAATCGCAAAGAAACGCGGATCACGCGCGGCTCCGCCCGGCAAGGAAAGGCGAGTTCTCTGGTCGCGAGCGCGAACGCGCCTTTTTACCTCGCGTGTACCGGCTACTACTTACTGCTGCAACGAAACCACGATTAAAGAGAGAGAAGGTAAGTCCATTTGCATATGCGAGAAAAGCAACCAATCGCGGCACACGTTGCTCTTCTGTCGATATATCAACGACAACGATTAACACTTTCAAATTAATCCGAAAAACAAGTGACATGTCTTTAGCACAACCGTTTTCGTAAACGTCAAGTAACGACTAAGTAATTATGAGGGCGCTCTGTATAATATGCGCGCGACTCTATTAACTCAAGTAGGTGGCACAGGTGGCGTTTTTTGGCAAACGTGCGTGTTCGTGATATATTTCGTAAATTATAAAATCGATTCGTTTTAAGTTTTAATAGTAATTTTTCGCAAAATATCTGTTTAAAGTGTTCTTCATAAAGTGCAAAAGTAGTGTACTTGTCGTTGGTCGAAATAAAGAAAAGTAGAATAGTAAATTGCAAGTATATTAAACTTGTTTCATGTACTAGGTTATACACTACTTTGCTACAATTTGAATGTTAGAATATTCGTTTAGTGAGAAATAATTCGCGTCACGTGGAATGTATATGATAGTTTTTCGAACTTTTAGTTGAAATCTGTGATTTTATGATTCGAATTGAGTAATTTTTGGAGTACACTGAAGAACGAAATATCCGGCTAATACTTTATGCTGATGAGTCTCAGGTTAACAGCAAACCGGTAAGTACTTGTACAGGTTAAAACCGGTCGGTTCAACGATCTCTCGAACAATAGATTCATTGTGTGTTGAATACGTTCGCATTAACAAATGTATTCAAACAATCAATAATGCATAATATACGAATATTATAATCAGCCATTAACAGTATCGAAAAAGTATAGCAATTATATCGAATCAAATATATCGAACGTACCGAATATATCGAATCTTTGATATCTACATAATATGAATATAGCTACATAATTCGAAGTAAATTTAAATTCGAATATCAAAAATCTTACGAATTTTTATGAAATTAATTAAGGATATTACATATACGTTCTGAAATTTATTTCAGACATTATTTCTTTTTCGAAAAATTTCTAACCTTATCGTAATTATATCGGGTTATAAAAATATTCATGCATTCTATCGAGTCGAATATATCGAACGTATTGAACATATCAAATATATAAAACTTTCGATATCACTTACACAATTCGAATTAAATTTAAATTCGAACATTAAAAACCTTACGAATTTTTATGAAATTAATTAAGGATATTACGTATGCGTTCTGAAATTTATTTCTCCGAAAAATTTCTAATCTTATTCTATCGGATTATAAAAATATTCATGCATTCTATCGAGTCGAATATATCGAACATATTGAACATATCGAACATATCAACATAATTCGAATTAAATTTAAATTCGAATATCAAAAATGTTGTACGAACTTTAGTAAAATTAAACTTAAGATATTACGTATACGTTCTGAGATCTATCTCAGCCGCCATTATTCTCCGAAAAATCTCCAACCCTATCGTAACTCTGCCGGGTTATAAAAATATTCGCACACCCCTATTTTCGGCCGCCATTCTTCCAAGTCTCACCTATCATATTTCCATGCACACACATCGGAAGCCCACCACTCCTAACATTTGAATGTGGCATGCGCAGTGCCGGTATAAAAAAAAAAAAAGAAAAAATAAGACGCTTTAAACTGGGCCTTTATTGGTCGTAGCAGCCGTGCAGAATCCCCACCCACGCGCCGTTTTCCCTCGCGTACACAAGCATCCCTGCCATTCTTCCTCTTTTTATCGCGCTATCATATTTCCATACAGCCACCGGCCACCACCACCGTGGCCACCTCCACTCGATACCCAGGTCGCCCAGATTTGAATCCGGCATGCGCAGTTCCCCGCGCAAAAAGGGCGCTTTAAAGAGGTTCTTATTGGCCATGGGAACGTCACCCCCACTCCTTATCGCGTGTACCGGCTACCTAACCTTGCGAACGCGGCACCCTTCCTCTTATCGCGTCTCCCCTCCCCTCCCCAACCCCCTGAACCTCCCCCTCCTCGCGCACGTTCCTTTTTTTCGCGTTTTCTCTCCCTCTGATTCTTTCTTCCCCTCCGGTCTGCCCCACCACCCGTTGCACGGCTCCCACATCTAGACTAGAAACGAGCATCCCCTTGCACCCTCGCCACCCTACCACCCCCACGTTGCACACGTATACATATACACACGTATACAAAGGAAGGCGCGACAAGGATGAATAGCGTCGAGGGATGAAGATGAAAGCGGGACATACCGAGAGGGATAGGGGATAGGTGGTGGCACGAGGGAGACGAAGCGGAGAGCGTGCCGGTATTGATTTTAATGACGCTCCTACCTTACGCGAATTCACGAAAGAGGCGCGAATAATATCTACGCGCTCTGATTCCGGGAGTCGGGACGAGGCGAAAGCTTTGCGAGAACGTGTATAGACATTTCTCTTAAATCGTCTTATATCTTTTTTTTCTCTCTCTTCTATTCTTTGTTACCCGTTTTATACGATAAACGTAACGAGAGATACGATAAAAGGGAGATATTATTATAAATGGATCGAGGTGTGAAACGATCCTCCTTCTTCGTCGAGTGGCGATATTTCCATACCGTATCTGATTGAATAAAGGGTTGGTACAAAAAAAAAAAGGAGAGAGAGGCCGGTCATATTTATGTATGACGCGCGTGCCAGTGGATAAAAGCACTTGCCGAAAAATCAAACGGCTCGAGTGGCACTAAACGGAAGGGTGTTCAAATACCCATACCCGGGACCCTAATCTGAATAAGGTGAACCCTTTCTCCCCGGGCGAGAACCCTCTTTTTTTTCTTCTTTTTTTTTTTTTATTCATAGCGTGCAGGTATTTGCATGACCCTGCATGATCGCAGGTGTCAGTTCTCCCCCTTTTTCTCATTCACGAGTTGAATAAACGAACCTGGGACGAGGGGAAAAAAAGGGTAACTCGGTGTGCGTATGGAAATGGCAAATGGTACGCCATTTGCACGATCAAGATCACGGTAATAGATCCTTAACTGGTGGACTGGTCGTTCTATTTTAATTCGTTGAAGAAAAAAAGGCGCACCTGTGCGCGAACCCCTAATCGTACAGGTGGATCCTCCTCTATAGAATTTAATTTTTAATACACCGAGTTTTCATTTCGCGAGCAGATAATTTGCGCTCATTAAATTATCATGCGCATCCCTCCGCTGTTAAAAATTCTTCTCGAAATATTACTCGAGAAATTACAGTACGCTTATTATTATTTTTCTACACGCTGATCATCTTTTTTTTTTTTTTTTTTTTTCGATTTCCGTTACTTCCTCTTTTTCATTGCGCGGTTGAAGAGTAGAGTTTTTCTTTTTTCAAGACACCCGGTAGGGCAGAGCGCACAGCCGCTGCCTCCTGACCCCATGACCCTCTCACAAACCCTACGACCTGTCTATATGCTGTATACGTGAATTGCAGGCTACCATTCGGCCACCTGCGGCTTCTGACATCTCAAGCAGCATCGGTAGTGACCGGGCGAACACCTCTCTTTGCACGCGCGAACACACTCCTTGACAAAGGTGTATTATCCCTCGCCCTCGGCTTTCCTGAAAACCTGTTTGCAGGCGCGCGCGCGCCGCGACGCCTTTGTGTCCCCTACGCAACAAGTCACAACATCATCAAAATCGTAAAGTACAAGCCAATCTCGCGACGTTAATTGCTTTCGCATCGTCCACCTCGGATTTTTTTTTTTTTTTTTTTTTTTTTTTTTTACCCGTCCCTCTACTACCTATCACGATTCTATTATTAGCATTCCTTCGATACCATACGTTACCTGGAATTAAATTACAAGAAAATACCGATGCCTGCGTTACTCAGAATTCGATCGAACAATTTTCCATCCAGCGTACGACCTACATTTCCTAACTGTAACTCGTCGATTAATCGATTCCTCTCGATCGAAGGTTTTCTTTTTTTATTATTATTATTATTCTTCAAAGAAATTTCCCAATAATGGTGAAATTCGAACGAGTACGCAAGGAAATACAGACGATTCGAGTGGGATTCTTTCTTGTCGAAAGTTGTTACCGTTATGGCACAATCGATTTTAGCAAGTAGGGGGGGAAAAAAAGAAGAAAAAAAAAGAAAAAAAATAATGTAGAGAAAGGAAACGCGACACGCGAAATTCCGAATTCAACGCGCGCCCCCTGCGAAAATCGTTTCACCCCCCAAGGAGGAGCTCTTTTAGACGAGCCATGAATCGCCACCCTCGAGGAATAATAAAAGATCTCCCGTCACGAGGGAAATTAGAGGTTTTGATTCCGTACGGTATGCGTACAATCGTTTATTCCTATCCGGGAAAGTTTTAACTAACACTCGTTTCAAGTCTCGAGGAGCCAGGTGCGCCAAAACACTATTTTCCTTTGATGATTTGTTGGGACGCGGAAACTGGGCCAATCTCGATAGGGTTTCTGACCAACTTGTAAATCAAATCTCTCTCTCTCTCTCCCTTTTTAAAGCACGAGAATCTCGACAATTCACCACATACGTTATAGAAAAAAATATATATATGTAATCTTGTTGAAAGGTGTAAAAATATTTTTTTTTTTTTTTTCTTTTCTAATTCTACTCGTGTCCACTTAATCTCAAGTATGTTTTTTTTTCGTT